AAAACTCTATTCCGGCTTCTTCCTTTCAGTACCACTTTGACCTTCAAAAATGTAAACGCAATGTCAATCGTTATCTTCTGTTTTCTTAATACTTGTTGTTTTATTGCCCTTTCACCTCAGTAGTATATTCTCTAACAGTGAGTAACCCTTGTGACTTAGAGGCTTTATTGCCTTCCTTGGAGAGAAATGACTAAAAAAAAAATACACCTTTTATATTCATACCTTGAAGCAAGTTTTAAAAAACGACCGCCAGAACTGTTGATAGCACAGATCTTAAGGGGAGATAGATTTAAGGGATTCAAAAGAGGATTTGACTTACTTCTATCGTCAGACAAGGATTTTACAAGTATTTGATATTCATTTTTTTTTTAAATAAATTAGCCTAAGATACATGTATGGATAAAGAAAATAAGTATGAAAAAGGAGTTAAAGTTGAAAAAAAAGAGTTGATAATTAACCCAAAATTGAGCTTCTAAATTTTATGCTTGCTAACTTGCTGAACATTCCAGGGTTAACGGAGATAAACGTGCAAGGAGCAGGCTTTCTTGAAAAAGATTAAAATCGTTGAAATCAGGTTAAACCCGGTTCAAATCCATTTTCTGGATTTTTAGATTTTTGCGAATATAAATCTTTTAAAAATAATCGAATATCAAATAAAAACTCTCAAAAAATATCGATCAGCGTTGGCGGTAAGAATAACGTTGCTTATTTTGTGAGTGTAGAATAACGTAAGCGGTAAGAATAACGTTGCTTATTTTGTGAGTAAGAATAACGTAAGCGGTAAGAATAATTTTGCTTATTTTGTGAGTGTAGAATAACGTAAGCGGTAAGAATAACGTTGCTTATTTTGTGAGTGTAGAATAACGTAAGCGGTAAGAATAACGTTGCTTATTTTGTGAGTGTAGAATAACGTAAGCGGTAAGAATAACGTTGCTTATTTTGTGAGTGTAGAATAACGTAAGCGGTAAGAATAACGTTGCTTATTTTGTGAGTGTAGAAGCCTGTTTCTGATATTATCAAGCATTTTCGATTTCTTTTATGGAAATTTCATTTCGGTTGTTCTTTAGATTCTACAATTTAAAAATCTGGGATTTTTTTTTTTTTACTTTTATAATTTTAATTTTAATTTGTTTTACATTTTGATGTTAAAATTCTTTCTCGTTCTTTAGTTAATACTTTTTAATGTCATTGTTTCTCAAACAAACCTTTACCCGTGAAATTCAGGTCTGAATTTCTAAGATCATATATTACTACCATTTAATATTTTTCGACTAATATCCTCATCTTTGTTGATTTTTTTCCGATATTTCGGTCAGCTTTGATATTCTTTGAAAAATTGTCTTCGCTCAATGTAAATCGAGGTTCTCTGGGAAACAAAATCAATTTCACGTACGATTTATGAAAATTTACAAAGTATTTTTTTTTTTTTGCAAAAATCGATATTTTAAAGTGAGATTAATAAATATTCTCTTCGTTGAATTTATAGTTTCGTAGATTAGCTGATACTATTTTGAGAGACCTGTCGGAAAATTTTTCAATGTTTTTATATATTTATTTTCGGAAATAAAATAATTTTGGTAAGCGAGATATCAGACGAATATTGGCTAATTGAAATAACAAAACGAAAATAAAATTACTATTGGATGCATTTTGCACCACGATAGAACTTCCACGGACGAATAATGTCTTCATTGATAGAATTATATATATATATATATATATATATATCAAATATCAAATGGATTCCATCAGTAAAACCATTATTATCAGTAAAACTCTTGGAACGAAAAGCATACTAAAGCATACTAATTCTCTTCCACTTTTCATTCATCTGCACGCTATATATATATATATATATATATATATATATATATATATATATATATATATATATATAGTACAGGGAATCGATCCGTTGGTTTATAATCCTGGTGGATTCTAGTAATATTAATTTTAATTATATATTTTTAATTATGTATATGTATAGCAGGAGCACCAGACTAGATGGGGAAGTATCTGGCTTGTCTCCTTTCTCTTATCGTCAGATAGCTCAAACGGCTAATTAAAGAACGGCTTGAAATACACAATATCTATGTTGAGGTACTTTTTGTTTTGTTTTTCGTGTAATTAATATATATATATATATATATATATATATATATATATATATATATATATGCGCACTGCTACTGAGTCCCAAATATAGAAAGAAACGGCCGTACAGCGTTTTCTTTTGAGGATTCTTTTAGAGTCGATGAATAACTTAATTATGTAAGAGTAATCAGGATGACAATAGATAGAGATTGACATTGCATTTACATTTTTGCCGATGAATGTTGGCTGGAAAGCTTGAAGTTGAATTCCACAAGCGAGAAGTGCGTGGAAGGAAACTGTTAACATAGAATTTACTGCTACATCGATGCAGCTCAACCGCAAATTGATGTGATCTCGTAGCCAGTTTAGTATTTCTCTTAAATTCACAAAGTTTAAGTACCATAGCAATGAGCGATATTTATTCCATTTATATACAGAAATGTGGCGTGAGCCCAAAATGGGGAAGGTGAAAAAGGACGGTCTTGTTCTGTCTTAACGTTAATCTTATCTAGCCACAAATACTGACCCAAATATACAACAATATTCCTTTCACCAAAACAACACATTCTTACCGTTTTACTTCATCCATCATAATATCACATAATCTCCAAGAAGTCCGAACTAGTTCCTATATATACAATTCACATGGGGGAGGGGAATAAAACAACAATTAAAAACTAGCCCCACTGTGCATTTAAAATATGTAAAGAAAACTATTTACAAGGAGCCAAACAAAATAATGTAAGTAATAGAGAAAAGCTTATCCGAAGAATTATCACGAAATTATTTCTAGAAAAAAAAAACACAGAGAGGTAATCTTACGGCGGTGGGAGAGTGATTGAAGCTGGGCCGTCAATTCACGACCAATAATATTGCTGATTCCTCTTTTATCAAGAAACTTGAAAAAAAAATAGCACCAGGTCATATGTGGCAGCAATATTCCAAGCATAGACAAATGGTAGACCTAGATATGGACGATAGATTCTGGAAAGAAAAATTGTCTTGCACAACACAGTGAACCAAATTTCTTAGCAGCTGACCTATAAAGGGATTTAATAAATCTTTCCACTTCATGTCAGCTGAGAATGTTAGCTAGAGAAGGCGCAACGAATCGCTTTCCTGGTGGTTAGTATCAGTCATACTGATGGAAGGCAGACGGGAGTCTCTTATGAATAATGGAGAGAAGTTTAGTTTTTGAGGTGTTAAAATTAACAAGTTATCTTTTTTCCTCTGTTAACAATGGACATGAGGTTATTTTGGACATTGGCTGCCATTTTGAGATAATCGAACTGATCGGCCTTACTCTCGAGGCAGGAGTAAATGGTTGTGTCATCAATTTAGATGCCAAATTGAGAGCTGATATAATCACGGAGGTCATTAATGAAAATTAAAAACAAAGTAGAACCAATGATAGAGTTCTGAGGATACATCTGCATTTATACAAAAGGATGGTATTTATCAATCCACCCACGGGGATTGAATGTGGCACAAGGCCTTTTTTATGTGGGTATCTTCGAGCCCGTAGGCCCAGCCAAAAATAAATAACCATCCAAACCCGCCGAGGTGGGCCAGTTCCGTCAACCTCCCCCAACGAAACCCCACCCTTCGGCGGAGCTTCGTCCGGGTTCCTCTCTGCAAGCAGAGAGTTCGACAGACACCCGACCCGGCAGTTAACAAGGTGCAGATACTACATTTTGATCCTAGCCACCGGGCCGAGCGGGTATTCTTTTTATAGATACAAAAGGATCTAGACGAGTGGCCATTTTGGAGAGCTTTCATAATACTGCTGATTCTTAAAAGGCGCAACGAGTCGCTTTCATGGGGGTTAGCATCAGCCATGCTGGTGGAAGTCAGATAGGAGTCTCTCGGATTATTAAATGGTAGAAGTTTAGTTCTGGAGGTGTTAAAATTAACAAGCTTTTTTTTTTTTACGTTTGTTAACTGCCATTTTGACTTTGTCATACTGAACAAACTTACTATCGAGGCAGGAGTAAATTATTGTGACCTCAGCGTATATTTACATTATTTACACTCGGACAATCCTCCCCATACTTATCATCGGCACAAAGTTTCAACCGATGTTCCCTACGGCGTTCATCAAGAATTTGTCGATCTGGGCAAACTTTAAATAAGTTTCTTTTCACTACGTACTCTCCGGCCTGTCAGCTGCGGCTGCAGAATACGCCGATTGCAACACTGCAGAGGGGTAAGATCCCCCCCCGCCAATCAGGAAATGAGTTGTCCTGGGTAAGACGATAAAATACATCCGAGCCCTGAGTAAGACGATAAATTACATCCAACAGTAGGCTTCTGATCAGGACGTTTTGAGGAGCGTGAAACCACATCTTAATTGCTCGTGTTCCCAGCTCCTCCCTAATCCGGTGTGGTAGTAACTGTTAGGGTTCCATCTAGTGCAAATAGTTGACCTCGAAACTGTGGTCAAAATAATATGAAAGTGTAAAAATAGTTTTTAGTACCAGCAAAACATTTTAGCAAAAAATTGTTACCAGCAATAAATATTTGAAGAAAAAAATATTACCAGCAATACATTATCATTATCAATAGATTTTTGCAAAGTTTTGTTACCAGCAATTCATTTAAAATAAAAATATTACCAGCAATATAGTTTTGAAAAAAGTATTACTATCAATAAAAAATCTTTACGTTATTACATCACCCATTGAGGTTGATATGCCGTAAAACAAAACAAAACTGCTGCATTGATGTTTAAGATCAATAATCGACACATTTTTGCCATGTCCAAAAAAGAAAATACATAACAAAGGGAATTTCTGTGCAAAGAAGTATACGACTGGTGACAAATTAGTCATCAGGAACTAACGAGGTGGAAAATGGTTTTGGGAGGATGGAATTATTTAAATTAGAATTGGAAGAGTAATCTATACAGTGAAAGGAAAAAGATGTTATTCGCCTTGAAAGAGTACAAAGAAAAGAAAACATACACCAGCTTTGCCCGTAGGAGTGAGATGTTATTCGCCTTGAAAGAGTACAAAGAAAAGAAAACCTACACCAGCTTTGCCTGTAGGAGTGAGATGTTATTCGTCTTGAAAGAGTACAAAGAAAAGAAAAAACCTACACCAGCTTTGCCTGTAGGAGTCAGGCCCATAGGAGATGTTATTCAGCCTTGAAAGAGCATACAAAGAAAAGAAAAAACCTACACCAGCTTTGCCCGTAGGAGTGAGATGTTATTCGCTTTGAAAGAGTACAAAGAAAAGAAAATCTACACCAGCTTTGCCCGTAGGAGTGAGATGTTAGTACAAAGAAAAGCCTTGAAAGAGTACAAAGAAAAGAAAACCAACACCAGCCTTGAGATGTAGGAGAGTGAGATGTTATTCGCATTGAAAGAGTACAAAGAAAAGAAAACCTACACCAGCTTTGCCCGTAGGAGTGAGATGTTATTCGCCTTGAAAGAGTACAAAGAAAAGAAAACCTACACCAGCTTTGCCCGTAGGAGTGAGATGTTATTCGCCTTGAAAGAGTACAAAGAAAAGAAAACCTACACCAGTTTTGCCCGTAGGAGTGAGATGTTATTCGCCTTGAAAGAGCACAAAAAAAAAAAAACCTACACCAGCTTTGCCCGTAGGAGTGAGATGTTATTCGGCCTTGAAAGAGTAATAAAGAAAAAAAAGAAAAAAGTGAGATGTCTGCCTGAAAGATACAAAGAAAAGAAAACCACACCAGCTTTGCCTGTAGGAGTGAGATGTTATACGGCTTGAAAGAGTACAAAGAAAAGAAAAACCTACACCAGCTTTGCCTGAAGGAGTGAGATGTTATTCGCCTTGAAAGAGTACAAAGAAAAGAAAAATACACCAGCTTTTGCCTGTAGTAGTGAGATGTTATTCGACTTGAAAGATAAAAGTACACCAGCTTTGCCTGTAGGAGTGAGATGTTATTCTTGAAAGAGTACAAAGAAAAAAGAAAACCTACACCAGCTTTGCCCTGAAGGAGTGAGATGTTATTCGCCTTGAAAGAGTACAAAGAAAAGAAAGCCTACACCAGCTTAGCCCGAAGGAGCGAGATGTTATTCGACTTTAAAGAGTACAAAGAAAAGAAAAATTACACCAGCTTTGCCCGTAGGAGTGAGATGTTATTCGCCTTGAAAGAGTACAAAGAAAAGAAAAATTACACCAGCTTTGCCCGTAGGAGTGAGATGTTATTCGCCTTGAAAGAGTACAAAGAAAAGAAAACCTACACCAGCTTTGCCCGTAGGAGTGAGATGTTATTCGCCTTGAAAGAGTACAAAGAAAAGAAAACCTACACCTGAGGAGTGAGATGTTATTGCCCGTACACCAGGAGGAGTGAGATGTTATTCGCCTTGAAAGAGTACTTGAAAAGAAAGAAAAAAACCTACACCAGCTTTGCCTGTGGGGGAGTGAGATGTTATTCGCCTTGAAAAAGTACAAAGAAAAGAAAACCTACACCAGCTTTGCCCGTAGGAGTGAGATGTTATTCGCCTTGAAAGAGTACAAAGAAAAGAAAACCTACACCAGCTTTGCCCGTAGGAGTGAGATGTTATTCGCCTTGAAAGAGTACAAAGAAAAGAAAACCTACACCAGCTTTGCCCGTAGGAGTGAGATGTTATTCGCCTTGAAAGAGTACAAAGAAAAGAAAACCTACACCAGCTTTTGCCTGTAGGAGTGAGATGTTATTCGCCTTGAAAAGAGTACAAAGAAAAGAAAACCTACACCAGCTTTGCCCGAAGGAATGAGATGTTATTCGACTTGAAAGAGTACAAAGAAAAGAAAAAAACCAGCTTTACGTAGGAGTGACATTTGCCCGTAGAAAAGAAAACCTACACCAAAGACTAAAGAAAAACTTAGCTTGCCTGAAGGAGATGTTATTCTTGAAAGAGTACTTGAAAAAAAGTAGGAAGAGAAAAGAAAACCTACACCAGCTTTGCCCGTAGGAGTGAGATGTTATTCGCCTTGAAAGAGTACAAAGAAAAGAAAACCTACACCAGCTTTGCCCGTAGGAGTGAGATGTTATTCGCCTTGAAAGAGTACAAAGAAAGAAAACCTACACCAGCTTTGCCCGTAGGAGTGAGATGTTATTCGCCTTGAAAGAGTACAAAGAAAAGAAAACCAACACCAGCTTTGCCAGGAGGAGCGAGATGTTATTCGCCTTGAAAGAGTACAAAGAAAGAAAACCTACACCAGCTTGCCTGTAGGAAGATGTTATTCGCCTTGAAAAGTACAAAGAAAAGAAAAACCTACACCAGCTTTGCCAGTAGGAGGAGATGTTATTCGCATTGAAAGAGTACAAAGAAAAGAAAAAAACAACAGATTTTCCTGTAAGAGTGAGATGTTATTCGCCTTGAAAAGAGTACAAAGAAAAGAAAAGATACACCAGCTTTGCCTGTAGGGAGTGAGATGTTATTCGCCTTGAAAGAGTACAAAGAAAAGAAAACCTACACCAGCTTTTTCCTGTATGAGTGAGATGTTATTCCCTTGAAAGAGTACAAAGAAAGAAAACATGGTTCAGCTTTGACCATAGGAGTGAGATGTTATTCGCCTTGAAAAGTACAAAGAAAATTAACCAGAGTGAGATGTTACACGCCCAGCTTTTTCCTGTAGGAATGAGATGTTATCTGCATTGAAAGAGTACAAAGAAAAAGAAAACCTACACCAGCTTTGCCATAAGAGAGTGAGATGATATTCGGCCTTGAAAGAGTACAAAAGAAAAGAAACCCACACCAGCTTTTGCCTGTAGGAGGGAGATGTTATTCGCCTTGAAGAGTACAAAGAAAAGAAAACACTACACCAGCTTTGCCTGTAGTAGTGAGATGTTATTCGCCTTGAAAGAGTAAAGAAAAGAAAACCTACACCAGCTTTGCCTGTAGGAGTGAGATATTTGATTGAGTCAAAGAAAGAAAACCCATAAAAGCTTTGCGGGTAGGAGTGAGATGTTATTCGCCTTGAAAGAGTGCTAAAGAAAAGAAACCCTAAATATTTCATGTAGGAATGAGATGTTATTCTGCCTTGAAGAGTACAAAGAAAAGAAAAATTACACAAGTTTGGACTGGTACAGAGTGAGGATGTTATTCGCCTTGAAATTGTACAAAGAAAAGAAACCTACACCAGCTTTGCCTGTAGAGTGAGATGTTATTCGCCTTGAAAGAGTACAAAGAAAAGAAAACTACACCAGCTTTGCATGTAGGAGTGAAATGTTATCTTATATTTGAAAGAGAACAAGAAAAGAAAACCCACACCAGCTTTGCCCGTAGGAGGGAGAGATGTTATTCGCCTTGAAAGAGTACAAAACCCACAGGGTTATATTTATTTGAAAGAGTCCAAGAAAAGAAAACAAAAATCAGCTTTGCCTGTAGGAGGAGATATTTCATTGAGGACAAAGAAAAAGGGTTATGTTTCATTGGTCACATGGTAGGATTTAAAATGTTTTATTTCGTCCTGGAAAGGTACAAAAACAGGGTTTATATTTAAATTTAGTGGAAAGAATACAAAAATCAGAGGTCATATTTCGTTTGGTCATGGAAATTACACAAATCAGGTTCTTAAATTGTTCATGGAAGTACAAAATCCTTGGTTATATGATGGTCATGGAAAGAAATTACTAAAATCAGGGTTATATTTCATTGGTCATGAAACGGAAGAAATTACGAAATCAGGGTTATATTTAATTGGTCATGGAAGAGTACAAAATCAGGGACATATAATTGATCAGAAAATGCAAATCAAGGTTATACTTCATTTGTCATGGAAAATTACAAAAATCAAGGTTATATTTTGTTGGTCTGAAGAGTACAAAAATCAGGGTTATATTTCGTTGGTCATGGAAAATTACCAAAAACAGGGTTATGTTTCATTGGTCATGGAAGAATACAAAATCAAGATTCTTTACATTTGGTCATGGAAAGAGTACAAATCAGGGTTATATATTTAATTGGTCATGGAAGAGTACAAAATCGTAGTTATATTATTTAGTGCTTCGGAAAAATTACAAAATGGGAATATATTTCATTATCATGGAAAGAGTACAAAATCAGGGTTATATTTAATTGGGTGGAAAATTACAAAAATCAAGGGTTATATTTAATTGGTCATGGAAGAAAATTGCAAAATCAGGGTTAATTTAATTGGAATGGAAAACCTACACCAACAGGCCTTTATATTTCATTATTCATGGAAAGAAATTACAAAAAAAGAGTTATATTTAATTGGTTATGGAAAGTACAAAATCAGGTTATATTTATTTGCTGGAAAATTTTGAAGAACAGAAAATATATTTAATTTTTGCCGTACAAGGGCGAGATATTTATTCGCCTTGAAAGAGTACAAAATAAGTTATATTGAATTGGTCATGGAAAAAATTACAAAAAATCAGAGTTAGATTTCATTGGTCTTGAGAAAGAGTACAAAAAAGCAAGGTTTATATTTCATTGGTCACCAAGAATGCAAAATCAGGTCAGATGTTATTGGTCTTGGAAAAGTACAAAATCAGGGTTCCTTATACAAAATTTCATTGTTATTGCCTGGAAAGAGTACAAAATCAGGTTATATTTTCATTGGTCATGGAAAGAGTACAAACATCAGGGTTAGGTACAGTCATGGAAAGAGTACAAAATCAGGGTGAGATTTCATTGGTCATGGAAAATTTTAAAAGGATTTATATTTCAAAAACCAAAGGGTTATATTTCATTGGTCATGGAAGAATACAAAAAAAGGTCAGGGTTATACAAATCAGGGTTATATTTAATTTTTTTCATGGAAGGAGGGCAAAAATCAGGGTTATATTTATTACATGGAAAGAGTACAAAAATCAGGGTTATATTTCATTGGTCATGGAAAGAGTACAAAAATCAGGGTTATATTTAATTGGTCATGGAAAGAGTACAAAAATCAGAGTTATATTTCCATTGGTCATGGAAAGAGTACAAAATCAGGGTTATATTTAATTGGTTATGGAAACAGTAAAATCAGGGTTATATTTCATTGGTCATGGAAAGAGAAAAAAAGGTTATATTTAATTGGTCATGGAAAAATACGAAAATCAGGGTTATATTTCATTGTCATGGAGAGTACAAACAAGGTTATATTTCATTGGTCATGGAAGAATACAAAATCAGGGTTATATTTCATTGGTCATGGAAAGAGTACAAAAACTTGGTTATATTTTTTGGTCATGGAAAATACAAAAATCAGGGTTATATTTCATTGTCGCGGAAAGAGTACAAAATCAGGTTATATTTAATTATTTGGAAAGAGTACAAAAATCAGGGTTATATTTAATTGGTCATGGAAAGTGTACAAAAATCAGGTTATATTTCATTGTCATGGAAGAAAAAAATAAGGGTTATATTTCATTGGTCATGGAAGAGTACAAAAATCAGGATATTATTTAATTGATCATGGAAAAAATTACAAAAATCAGGGTTATATTTAATTGGTCATGGAAAGAGTACAAGAAAAAAATCAGGGTTATATTTAATTGGTCATGGAAAGAGTACAAAATCAGGGTTATATTTAATTGGTCATGGAAAGTTATATTTACAAAAATCAGGGTTATATTTCATTGGTCATGGAAAGAATACAAAAATCAGGTTATATTTAATTGGTCATGGACAATTACAAAATCTTGGTTATATTTAATTGGTCATGGAAAAGTACAAAAATCAGGGTTATATTTATTTGGTCATGGAAAGAAATACAAAAAATCAGGTTTATATTTCATTGTCATGGAAAGGTACAAAAATCAGGGTTATATTTAATTCATTGGAAAGAAATTACCAAAAATCAGGGTTATATTTAATTGGTCATGGAAGAGTACAAAATCAGGGTTATATTTAATTGGTCATGGAAAGAGTACAAAAATCAGGGTTATATTTCATTGGTCAAAATGGAATGGAAAAGTACAAAAATCAGGGTTATATTTACAAAATTGGTCATGGAAAGAATACAAAAATCAGGGTTATATTTCATTGGTCATGGAAAAATTACAAAAATCAGGGTTATATTTAATTGGTCATGGAAAAGTACAAAATCAGGGTTATATTTCATTGGTCATGGAAAAATACAAAAATCAAGTTATATTTCATTGGTCATGGAAGAGTACAAAAATCAGGGTTATATTTAATTGGTCATGGAAAGAGTACAAAATCAGGGTTATATTTCATTGGTCATGGAAAAAGTACAAAAATCAGGGTTATATTTCATTGGTCATGGAAAGAGTACAAAAATCAGGGTTATATTTCATTGTCATGGAAAGATTACAAAATCAGGGTTATATTTTAATTGGTCATGGAAAGAGTACAAAAATCAGGGTTATATTTCATTGGTCATGGAAAGAGTACAAAATCAGGTTATATTTCATTGGTCATGGAAAGAGTACAAACGTCAGGGGTTATATTTCATTGGTCATGGAAGAATAAAAATCAGGGTTATATTTAATTGGTCATGGAAAGAGTACAAAAATCAGGGTTATATTTCATTGTTCATGGAAAAAGTACAAAAATCAGGATTTATATTTAATTGGTCATGGAAGAATACAAAATCAGGGTTATATTTCATTGGTCATGGAAAGAGTACAAAATCAGGGTTATATTTAATTGGTCATGGAAAGAGTACAAAATCAGGGTTATATTTTAATTGGTCATGGAAAGAGTACAAAAATCAGGTTATATTTCATTGTCATGGAAAGAGTACAAAAATCAGGGTTATATTTCATTGGTCATGGAAAGTACAAAAATCAGGGTTATATTTCAAACAAAACAGGGGTTGGTCATGGAAGAAAAGAGTACAAAATCAGGGTTATATTTCATTGGTCATGGAAAGAATACAAAAATCAGGGGTTATATTTAATTGGTCATGGAAAGGTACAAAAATCAGGGTTATATTTTATTTGGTCATGGAAAGAGTACAAAATCATGGTTATATTTATTTGGTCATGGAAAGAGTACAAAAAATCAGGGTTATATTTAATTGTCATGGAAGAGTACAAAAATCAGGGTTATATTTAATTGGTCATGGAAAAGAAATTTAAAAAATCAGGGTTATATTTAATTGGTCATGGAAACAGTACAAAAATCAGGGTTATATTTCATTTCATGGTCAAAAATCAGGGATAATTGGTCATGGAAAATCAGGTTATATTTAATTGGTCATGGAAAGAGTACAAAAATCAGGGTTATATTTCATTGGTCATGGAAAGAGTACAAAGTCAGGGTTATATTTCATTGGTCATGGAAAGGTACAAAAATCAGGGTTATATTTCATTGGTCATGGAAGAATACAAAATCAGGGTTATATTTCATTGGTCATGGAAAGAGTACAAAAATCAGGGTTATATTTCATTGGTCATGGAAAGAATACACAAATCAGGGTTATATTTCATTGGTCATGGAAAGATTACACAAATCAGGGTTATATATTTCATTGGTCATGGAATTGGTCACAAAAAATCAGGTTATATTTCATTGGTCATGGAAAAATTACAAAATCAGGTTATATTTCATTGGTCATGGAAAGAGTACAAAAATCAGGTTATATTTATTTCATTGGTCATGGAAAGATTACAAAAATCAGGGTTATATTTAATTGGTCATGGAAAGAGTACAAAAATCAGGGTTATATTTCATTGGTCGTGGAAGAGTACAAAATCAGGGTTATATTTCATTGGTCATGGAAAGAGTTTAAAAATCAGGGTTATATTTAATTGGTCATGGAAGAGTACAAAAATCAGGGTTATATTTAAAATTTGGTCATTGGTACAAAATCAGGGTTATAAATTGGTCATGGAACATTACAAAATCAGGGTTATATTTAATTGGTCATGGAAAGAGTACAAAAATCAGGGTTATATTTCATTGGTCATGGAAAGGTACAAAATCAGGTTTTATTTCATTGTCATGGAAGATTACAAAATCAGGGTTATATTTCATTGGTCATGGAAAGAGTACAAAAATCAGGTTATATTTCATTGGTCATGGAAAGAATACAAA